CCCCCCAAAATTTTTTGGGAGTCTGAAAATTTGGGAAAAGAAGCGCTCAAGTATGAGTAATCAATAGACAAAGTCTGAAGAACTTCCAGAGGGGGGGCGAAAAAAGCCGTTTTTGCATCAAGCTCTTTAATGATTTTTTTTTATATTTTGTGCTTTTACTGTGCAGCAGCGTCTTGTACGCGCAACCAAGAGGCTCAAAATTGGACTATTTGACTCTAAAGATCTATGTATAAATTGGTTAAAACCAATGATTGCGTGCTTCTTGGTTTTTTTCTCTTTTGTCAGTTTTTGTATAGTTCCTTACAATATTACGGCTGATTGAGATTAATGTCGATGTCATCGCTTGAAAAGGTTTTACAAATATTTGCTACATTTAAGAATGTAAATGTTTTTTAAATAAAGTAATATTTTCAATTTAGAAAAAAAACAAGAAAAAGGGTTTATTTTTTAAATCGAAAATTTTAAAGATAGAAATGAAACCAAATATTCACCAAATGCAAATAGGATAGCTTTTTCCCCCTTGTCTCCTTTGTCTTTGTCTATTAATTTTAATAATCAACTCGCAGACGTGGCCTGAGTCCCTTTCATGATTTATTTTTCTTTAACAGAAAATTAAGCATTCCACTCTGATTTCGTGAATATATTCTGCAAGGCCCATGAAAAATTAATGGGCATTTTTACGGCGAATTTTGAAGAAAGTCCTGTCGAAAATTTATTCCATGGAATCTAATAATTGTGCGTATTTATGCTACAGGGAGTTATGCTGCTCGCAACTCTCATGCACATAATTCCTTTTAGCATAAATGCATCCTTATCAACAAAAAATACAAATCCTCATAGTTTTTCTCAAATAGTATTTTATCGCGAAATATTTGGTAAAAGCCGAATGTTTCTACGGTGTTTTTCTACACTATTTTCATCTCCAGCGGGCTGATTTTCGAAATTGAAAGACAGAAAAAGAAGACAAAATCAATATTTTAGATAAACTATTAAAATTATGATAATAGAAATACCAATTATACCCATTATTCTAATCATAAATACGGATATTTTCGACTGTCCAGGCACTTTAATTCTCACCCTATCTCCCTCTCTTGTGGTCCTTTTCGTGTTCTCCGCCGAGGGCAGTTTTTTTAAGATAAATCACAAAATCAATATTTTAGATGAAATATTAGAATTGTGATAATAGAAATACCATTTATACCCATTATTCTAATTATAAACACGGATCTTTTAACTGCGTGGGCACACTAATACTCACCCTGCCTTCCTGTCCTGTGGTCCTTTTCGTGTTCTCTGTCGAGAGCAGGGTTTTTTGAGGATGTAAAAAGGGGGGGACGTCTGTGTCTGGGCGTCCGAAGCTCCCTTGGCGCGCTTCACCTTGTATTTAATTGAGAGCTTATCTGATGAGCTTTGCACCATTTATCTTCCGTTCACCGGTGGACCAGGTCGCCCGGCTCTCCCTTTAAGCGTTCATTGTTTTATCTGGACGTGCTCGCCCGGACTCGCGACGCGATGTCGCTTCCATTAAAATCCGCCCTGAACAGACGCTATAATTGAGGAGTCTAACAGCCACCCTACTCCATCATGGACTGCATTTAGCTAAAAGGAACCAGGGTATTTTTGTGAAACATGGAAAGTCTCTTTGCTCCGCAAATAAAACAGGTTTTCTGGCTCTTTGAGTATTTTCTCTCGAGCTTTCCCCGAATATTTGATTGGTTTAAAACAGGATCCTAATTTTGAGAGTCTGAGCCTAGTTCGTCGTTTTCCGGACGAATAAACGTGACTTTATTCCAAGATTGCAAGTTAACTCGAACAATTCAATGTCTCACTGAAATCTACCTATGTAAATTCAGTTCAAATTTTTTCTGATTTTTGCGCAAGATCAGAGGGAAAATCAGTGAAATTTTCTGCTACGAATGCCGGAGATTCTTCTGCTAAGAATGTGATTTGTGGAGGAAAATTTGGCAACATTGAAATTTAGTTACGTGTTTTTGTGAGGGAAACAACAAATTGTGTTGGCAGGTTACAGAGTTTTACCCAAAGACTTATATATTTGATCGAAAAGGGTAGCACATCTGCTCTATAAATTCTTGGTGAAAATTGTATACAAAGGGGCACGCCTTCTGGCTGCCTCGCTGCCAATGGCGAGGCGTGAATGATCGACTATCAATATTCTCCCATTTGAAGCCATGGCAAAAGATCGATCATTAAGGTGTCCGTTGCGCACACCTTTCTATCGATACTTTTCCATAGGTTTAAATGGCAGATCAATCGATAAATCGAAAAGTACACCACGCCACTGCTCGCTATCCAACTATTAGAGGGAGCTTTGAGCTCTCAAACGGCCACTACCTGGATCGTTTTTCAAAAATTTTAAGTTAACACGCTTGTGCAAAGGGCATTAACTGTCTGCAGCTGCAAAAATCATGAGAGCTGGCCCGATGGATCTCTGGACAAGATATTACGAAAATGAAAATCTGGGAGGACAGAAAGCTATGATTTCTCTAACGTTGAAAAATTGCAACACGTTTGAGAATATCAGAATCTCTATGGATTTATCTACAATTCTACTACTACTAACAAGTCGCTCTTATAGCGCTTCTGTGCGCTTTGCGACACCCAACCGCCACTGCTAGCGATCCTGCCAGAGCTCCTTCGGCAGATCGCATCTCCTCATTTCCTGCCTCATTCCCTCAATCCAAGATTTGGCAGGGCGTCCTCTACGTTTTCTACCAGGGGGACCCAATCCAGAACCTTCTTAGGCAACCTATCATCTGGATATAAAGATACGGCAATGGGTAAAAGCCCGCAAAAGTTTGCCGAGTAAATAAGCTTGACATAACTGGACCGCGTTAGACAGAAAGGAAACAAGCCACATCAGCTATTGCCAAATTTAATCGGGCAAGTTAATTTTTTCATGAAAACGGTTGTGCGGATTTTCGTGCAAATTTCAGTGAAAATTCTCCATAATTTGAAGCAAATTCCTTAAAAATTTCACAGGAATCCGCACAAACGATAAATTGCCCAGTTAAATTTGGCAATAGCAGATGTGGCTTGGTTCCTTTCTGTTAAACTCGGTCCAACTCTGAATTTTAAGACTTTTGTGCAAATATTTCCAAAAAAATTCCTTAATGCAGTTGCAATGACGTCAATATCGAAATTCTCAGTAGTAAGGTTCTTTTATCGTGGAGACCCACCAGTCACATATCATAGACGAGTTTCGCCGAGTCAATTATTCCCCCTCCCCTCGCCGATTCAAAAGTTATCTCCCGCCGTCAACTCGTGCGGAGTACGAGCGAGATCGCGCCCACGGGACCCGACACCGGCGAACGTGCAACCATAAGTCGGACCGGTAATTCGCGAAAACTTCCCCGCGCGAAGAAACTTCACGCGGGAAGAACTTCGGGGCTGCCATTAGTTTCAAAAGACGGAGAGCGGCAGCCAAGACGTCAGAGATTTGATTTGTGTGTCAAGTATCTGCTTTACTCCTAATTAGCGGGGGCTGTGCTCGTAATGGCGGGGCATAGCTCAGCTCAAAGCGACGTAAATTATGCCGTAAATGGCTCTTGATTGCCGCCTGGCATATTAGCGCCCGCCTAACAAACGAGCGTATCCGAACTTCGATGAAAACATCATCATCCACAAATTCAATGTTATCCAGGGTTGGTGTCAAAATGAGGTTAAGTCTTTTCGTCCGAGGGATGAAATTAACGCGCAACCGGTGTCGTCGAGTAGAAAAGTTTGTCGAGGTCGCAGCGGTTTTTTTCACACTGGGGGTTTGGCTTCTTCTTCCGAGGAACGAAGCCATTCGGTTGTGGGGTTGCAATGTGACAAAACTTCAAAAAGAATGACTCTGAAGATGGAGGAAATACACTTTAGCTCGCGGGAGTCAAAGTAACGAGGCAGGGACTCGGAGGGATGGGTCGTAAGTCTGCGCGGCGCTTTCATCTCGCCAGCCACGGTGGAATTATTCAGTGACTCGTTATGAATGAAACGTCCTTAGAAATTCCTCTCAGTAAAATTTAATTATTTAATCAATTTTACTTTGATGAATTTACATTAAAGCAGATCTAATTAACATGCAGAATGCGGGGCAGCTGAGAATATTTCGACTTGGTGGAGATGCTTGCTGCTTTGCAGTTTTTTGCGTTTTTAGCGTCTCTCGGGATGTTCGCTCGGAGTCAGTACTGCCGTGCTGAAAAAAAAAAAACGTCGTATGAAATTTCAGGCGTAGCCAAATTTCCTTCGCTAGGAAACGAATTTTCAGACAATATTTTTATTTTTTTCTTTCAATTTTTTAGAGAATTGTATTCGCAATTTAATCTACAGTATCTGCAACTTTCAAGGGAAAATATTCTTAACTTTCCTTTAAATTTATGTATCATAGCAGGAAATGTGGCAACATCCAAATGTTCTAACGGCGTTTTTCCTTAGCACGGCAGAGTAGTGATCCCACAAATTGATAAAACTAGATTTTCTCCATTTGAATGCATTAAGAACAATCGATTCTAAGTGAGGCAGTCTTTTTCGATTATATTTCATATATATTTTCATATACGAAATCCAGGATCGTCTACTTTTCGAATTGAGAATCTGCGCATTGCTCATGGTTGCGATCAACAGGCGTTCAGTCGTATATGAAGTATACAAAGTATTCAGTCGTCATACTTTGAACGGCAATAAAATATGTAACTTCACATTTCGACACATTTGACGCCTCATTAAATTGTGACCATTTTTTCTCAGACATTTCCGAGTAAAAAAAAAAAAAAAATTAAACTAAATGTTTGGAGAGAAGTCAGGTTGAAATATCACTTCACTAATGAGAAGATATGTAAGTATTATCCAAATACTGATATCATTTACACGTGTATGTCACGGGGTCACTCATTACATTTATACGCTAAAACGCCCATTAGAGAAGCCGGAGATTTTAAGTGTTGATGCGTGCGTCGTACTGGGAAACATTTCATTACGATCAAAATGATAAAGCAGGTCTTGTCGAATTGAGACACAATATTGCCTAAAGTTTTAATAGGTTTTCGTCAGTAAATAGAAGTGATTTTAGGCAACTATGAGAGTTTACCCTATAAAGTTTAATTGAACCACAAAAGTGAAGTTCAAAGGTCTACCTCCGATTAGACAAAGTTCTCTAGAATTGTTTGCAAACAACAAACCTCTCTCCGGTCTAGTGTGAATTGGTTGAGGTGTTAAATAACTTTTAAAATAATTGAAGTTTGTTTTATTTATTCAACACAAAAGGGCACAAGTAAGTTTAATTTTTAGTCAAAATATAGTCAAAAGTTGTTAGTCGTATTATGGAAGTCTGCTGCACTCTAAATGCTCCGCAATATATTGCGTGGTCGGTTTTATTCGGTTACAGCCTATTTTTGTTTTGGCATAGAACTGTTTGAATCAAATCCTCCAAATACATATTTGAGTGTAAAAAATTCTTCGTTTTAGTTAATGACGAACATTCATTTGAATTTCATCACATTTCGAGCGCAGAATTCACCCTCAGGCGCGTAAAAATCTGGTTTATACTTTCAACAGACTTTTCAAGCTATTTTCATTCATTCGTTTTTAATTGATTCATGATTGTTAACATTTTTGTGTGTACATATATTAGCTTGCAATTTATTTTAAAAGCTTTTCATTACAAACTAATAATTCCATATTTAGGAAAACTTGCTTTGTTTAAGTTTCAAGGAATAGTCTGCCTCATGCTGAAACCATCGTGTGATAAAAAAGAATATCAACATGCGAATTCAACCTTTAAAGTCGCAAAAACAGTCAAAACTGGATTAGAGAATAATAATGCCTTATATGCTCTTTACTGAAATCCGTTCAACATTTTTCCAAGAGCAAGAGGACTTTCCTATGTTTATAGACGTTCTTTTAGAAGTGTATCATGATGGTATGGTTGGTTAATAACAATGATCAACACGTATGAAAATGTCTGTGGCAATTTCCTTTTTCCCCATAATTTTAATTGTATCGTACCGTAATTGTAGAACAGAGGTGTGTGCAACACTCACTTCTTTTTTTAATTTTCTGTTTTAGATGTGGCAGTTAGATTGTCAAATTAGACAAAAGAAGTCCTTATCTAAATAAAAAGGAAATACCACCTGAGTATAATTCCACGGCAGTTGAAATATTCTGCCACTTTTCGTCTGTACCTATCTTAACTACCAATCAAATGATAACTTTGCATAGTTTGTTCAAGATTTTAAGTCATTATCACTAATTGTTAAACAGACGTGTGCCTAACTGTAAAAAAACACTATACGCTTATTTCGGTCACCCCCATCTAATCATGCCGAAAAAACTCAAAATCTTCTGCCCAGCTTTGGAAGAAGAGGCTCTAAAGCAGTTCAACGATTGTTGCAGCAAAGACTTCGTCATACAAGCAGCATTGATGCCTGATGCTCATACAGGCTATGTAGCTCCAATAGGTGCTGTCATTAAAACGAAAAGAGCCGTTGTACCAGCTTGGGTCGGCTATGATATTGGGTGCGGTATGATTGCTGTTCTAATATCAGATAAAAAAGCTGAGCAAATATTAGTACAAGAAAAAGCCCGTCAACTATTCAATCAAGTCAACAGGGATATACCAATGGGGGCGGGTCGTTACGTTGCGCAGGGCAGACCAAATTTTATGGTCGATGAATTGAAAAGAGAACTTCAGAAGTTAAAGGAATCTACAACCTTGGACAAGTTATGGGAGACAGTTAGAGATAAATCAAATCCAAATTTGGGAACTTTAGGCTCTGGTAATCATTTCATTGAAATCTTGACTTGCGGTGATGAAACTTGGCTAGTAATTCATAGCGGCTCAAGAGGTGTTGGACACTATCTTGCAACTTACTTTATGAAAGCTGTTTCTGGCAGGAATAAGGGGTACGAGGCAACGTATGCTATCGAAAATCCAGACCAGCAAGATGAATATATGCTTTATCAAAAATATTGCCTAGAGTTTGCCTTGCTTAACAGGCTCTCAATGGCCATGAAAGTTGAGAAAGCAATCAAAGCTATTACAGGAATCCAGTACGATACAATGAAAAATTTGTGGACAAATAAAAACCATAATCATTGCATTGCATTAGGTAATGATTTATACCTGCATAGGAAAGGAGCTACCTCTTCTGATAAGGGTGAGCGAGGTGTGATACCTGGTAATATGAGGGATGGTTGTTATCTTGTGGAGGGGTTGGGTAATGATGATTTTTTATGCAGCTCCTCTCATGGAGCTGGAAGGCAGATGTCACGTACTCAGGCACGAAAAAATGTCAAATTGGAAAAGTTTCAAGAAGCCATGGAGGGAATTGTGGCTCCGATATGTCAGAAAACTATTGACGAAAGCCCATTTGCCTATAAGGACGTCTCGGAGGTTATGAAGTTACAAAAAGATAGTGTGAAAGTAATCAAGCGCTTAAAACCTATCATTAATTGGAAAGGTTTTTAACATACTATTTGCAAGATTTAAAACCAGTTTTTATTATAGATTTTTACATTGTGCAAACTCCGTATTTGTATTGTGATGATTCTTTGTTTTTGGAAAAAGCTCGGTCAGGGTCAGTTTCAATCTTTTTTAAAATATAAGTATTTGTGACGAGTGCGACTGAATTTTTGTTTATTTTTTGCCGATAAGTAGAACCTTTTATGATATTTTAGGTATTGATTTGCACCATGATAAAAAATCTAAGAATCGAAAATAAATATGAGAAACGCGGGAGCGAAGTAAAATAAGTCCTAGAATATAAAAAAATTGAGAGACTCAACCGCACCGCGCCGGGCGCGCTACGAAGGCAAGGAACGCCGCAGCGCCTTCAACTTTTGACTATGCAATACGGACGTCCGCAAAGTACGAATAGTTGTATTGAGGCGTTTTATGTTGATGTGAACTAGATAGAGGTGAACTAACTGGATCTTTTTCCAAACAAGGAATATTCTCCTAGCAGAATCTACTTATTGCGAGACGATTTAAACTCCTGACGATTTAATTAGTGGCTGTGCACCACTGCACCATCAATGAGTCAAATTGGATTCAAATAAACGAAGAAACTCGTGCGATTTGAAGTTACCGAGGACGGTTACTATTCAGTAAATAACGTATGAATCTACAATTTTGAGCGCACGCTGGCTCTTTTTTCCTACGCAAATCGATACGATTGATAATAAAGACTCAATACTATAAAAGTAATAATGGAATCATAAATTTCTCCTGGGTGGCAGTGCTACCGCAGCGTAAATGCAGAAAACGCCATCGGATGAGACCATCGCGGGAAAAAGTTATTTTTCCTCGAGCCCGCAGGGCACAGCGGAGGGCGGGAGCGAAGGTGTTAAATTTATCTCCCCTTTGATCCTTTATTCTCAAACAAACAAAACAAAACCAGGACGCGTTCAACGTTAATTTTAGACGCGTGTTACAGCCCCATTCAAAGAGCAAAATCGGCTACAGTGGGTCACGGAGAAAGCACATCAACATCGCCCGGCCGATGATCACGGGAGCACCCCATCCCCACCCCCNNNNCCCCCCCCCCCCCGCACCTCCAACCCCCGAGACCCCCGTTCCCCCTTACTTTCAACGCTTATTGATAACGTTGTCTGGTTTTTAATTAAATCTCCGGTTATTTAGGCCCTGAGATGCATTATCGAAACCTGAATAGTGCTCCTGCATTACCGCTGCCCCTTTTTTCGTTCGGGACCCGGCGCGGCGTGACGATCCCCCCCCCCCCCCCCCCCCNGAGCCGATCGTGAGTGCTGCGCTCTCGCGGTGCGATCGAGAGAAATCTAATTAAACCCATTGACTGCCAAGCTTTTCCTCGTTAACAAAGTGGATTATATCGATGTTACTCTCGTAACTTCGCCACCAAGCTTCCAGGGATTCATTCACGCTGACGGAATAATTTTAGGGATGGAATCGAACTGGGAGTTTCCCCCCCCCCCCCCATCTTTTTTTCATTTCTTTTTTTCCTTCTCTTTTTTTGTGATCACTGAAAATCTCATTACCTTCTAATGATAATCTTGCATTGACCGAGCGTTCGCTCCGTATCTTTTAATTGCATTTTTACAAATTGCGTCCTCTGCAAAATTGAGCACTCAACGTCGTTGTTAATAAATTATCGCTATAAATGCCGTTTTACAAATATCGACTCCCGGGAATTTGCCAATGCTGACAAAATAATTTTAGCGATTAACTCGTACCCTAAACCGCGTTATCTACTCCTGAAAATCTCTTTACCTTTCAGCGAGAATATTGCAGTGACTGAATCCTCGCTTCATATTTTCATTGCATTTTCATGAATTTTTCCCTTCACGTAATGATTTTTCAAAAAAAAAAAATCGATGGAATAGCCCTGAAAATGTGTTTTACAAATGTTGCATTAATTTTCTGAATTTTGATTAAATTTTTTATTCAGCTAAAATGGTGATTCGGGTCTTGCGCCACAATGATGCGCTAAGTTGATATTCGAACATAAAGTAGAATGCGCTTGGAATACATGGAATGTTCGAATGGAATGCGGTTGAAATGAAATAAAGTTATAAAAGAGAGGGAAATTTTGGGGCCTATTCAGGAGATGGTTTTATTTTTTCAGTTCACATATTCCGTTGGCTTTTTTTGGGACTGGGAATCGGGTCGCATTTTCCACAGTCACGCACCCGTCACGCGATGCCAGATTATTCCTTGAAAAAAGAACTTTAATATTTCTCAATTTGTGTTTAAAATACTGCAAAAAAGCGATCCGATTCCCAGTCTCAAAAAAAGTTAACGAAATATGTGAACTGAAAAAATAACTCCATCTCCTGTATAGGTCTCAAAATTTCCCTCTCTTTTGTCAATTCTTTCAAAATAATTTCAAAACTCTTACGCATTCCTTTGTGGTAAGTTTTTGAGTCTTGCTTTTGTTTACCAGGCCATTTTTAAAATATTTCAAGCTCTTTCACTGAAGAATATTCAGATATTTTCAAAACAGCTAGAAAATATTTCATCATAAGGATAAGAAAAAAAAAAGAAAAAAAAAATACTGCAAAAGATTTGTGGAAAATAGAAAACTCCTTCTTTTTTTTGAAGATCTCGCTTGGGCAATTTGTTAAAATAAGACTTGTATTTTTTATAAACTTTTTTGTGTTAAGTCTCATCAATGTTTTTGGGAGGGCGATTTGATTGTTACAAGTTTGGCAATCCTGTGGACCCCAGGTGGTAGCCCTTGCCTCAAAAGGGGTTGAAAGGTGCGGTTACCGGCTTCTTGGCGCACGAACCACCACGAAGGGTAGACATGGATTACATTTTGCAATAAGGAACAACTATCTCTGGCTCTCCCATAAAAGCACATATCTGCTCAGGGAAACCACTAGTACGTATGTTGTTTCTAAAATAGGCCAGAAATAGTGGCTCCTTATTGCAAATTGAGGAGCATTTCGGAAAAGGGCCACATACGCGTATGTGCCCTTTTTCCGGAAATGGCAGAAACGGATTCCTCGCATTCTAATGTACCAATGTCCCGAGTTTCAGCTTAATTGATCAATTTTTGGAGCTAAGGGACCAAGTTTTGTGAAGCTAAGTCAGGCCCATTTCATCTTTTCGCCCCTGGGTACGGTCGCCGCGACTCGACGTTGAGGAGATAGCGCGCAGGGCGCAGGCAGGCAGGTGATGGGTACTGATATAAGTAAGGATCCCTCATTAATGATGCATCGCACTGATTCTACTAATCAATGCAATATCATCGGGTTGCAGTGATTGTCTACGCGTTTCACCGGTGACACGTGAAATTCTGTAATTATTGATAATTCAAGTTTTAATGGTCTCTTGTGGGTTTTAATTTTTCGATTTTTTCGCGTGTTTTGCTGTCTTTTTTATTAACGATGATCGAAAATGATCCATCCGATCGAAATTATGATCCCATCGAAATTATGATTTATTTTCGATTAGAAACTCGTTAAAGTCTTGAAAATTTAGCTTTGAAAGCCAAAACCTATAACCACCGGTCCATTTCCAGAAAAAGGGCACAAAACGGAAAATTTTGAAAAATTCCTCCAGCAACACTGAAAGAAGTGTAAGTTTTACCAATGGTCGTTATTCATTCTAGGGTGTATGGACGTTGATATGGGTGCCCCAGTTCCGATGTATGTCATCATCAGCGCACAGAAAGTAGGAATGAAAACTTCAAATGCGTTTTTCTCACAGCTTGTTTTTTCGGTATGTGCCCTTTTTCCGGAAAGCTCCTCAATTGTATTTAGCAAATGGGTGGTTTTTATACGAGGATTAAAAATAAACAAGTGGCTAGAAATTAAAACAAAATAATATGAACTATGCAAAACGATAATCCGGGTATCGCATCGGAACTTGGCTGTTTTAAAAACGCCTTCAAATGCGGCGTGATACCTCACGCATTCCGGAGAGTTCAAATAGTTGTATCATTGCGCCGTGAGAATGTGACGGAAGATTACAATTGAAACAGCCTTCATGCACGCTGGGCTTGTCGATATCCGTTCACATTTTTGCAGTCATGAATGCATAGCTTATAGTGCGCTTCAGCTAGAATCGTATTTAGCAAATGGGTGGTTTTTATACGAGGATTAAAAATAAACAAGTGGTTAGAAATGAAAACAAAATAATATGAACTATGCAAAACAATAATCCGGGTATCGCATCGGAACTTGGCTGTTTTGAAAACGCCTTCAAATGCGGCGTGATACCTCACGCATTCCGGAGAGTTCAAATAGTTGTATCATTGCGCCGTAAAAATGTGACGGAAGATTACAATTGAAATAGCCTTCATGCACGCTGGCCTTTTCGATTTCCGTTCACATTTTTGCAGTCATGAATGCATAGCTTAAGTGTGCTTCAGCTAGAATCGTATTTAGCAAATGGGTGGTTTTTATACGAGGATTAAAAATAAACAAGTGGTTAGAAATGAAAACAAAATAATATGAACTATGCAAAACGATAATCCGGGTATCGGAATTTGGCTGTTTTGAAAACGCCTTCAAATGCGGCGTGATACCTCACGCATTCTGGAGAGTTCAAATAGTTGTATCATTGCGCCGTAAGAATGTGACGGAAGATTACAATTGAAATAGCCTTCATGCACGTTGGGCTTGTCGATTTCCTTCGACATTTTTGCAGTCGTGGATGCATAGCTGAATTGCGCTCCAGCTAGAATAATCCACACGGCTTAGCTGTAGCCGTAGCGAAAGCAGTCTCATCTAGGACCAGAGGACGGCACTCCAAACTCAAACCCTGGTCCTTCAGCTTGGGATCGGAGCATCGGGTTTGTGACATTGGAGACACCATTCGCGACATGATTTTATACCATAAGTATGATCTCATTCTGACCGGCTCGCAGTTCGACGTAATTTATGGATGACCCCTCGCCCGCATTGCAGGATCGGAAGTCGCAGAATCGAAGTCCAGATTAATAGCAAAGCTGGAGCTCTGAATGAAACTTTGTGAATAAACTTTCCCGAAAACTTTGCGGGCCAAAAGTGGAGTACCGACGACGGAATTTCGGTCGAGGACGGAAGGGAAGAGGCAGTTCCTTCCGCGTCCCGAGTCAAGGAGCCGAGAATCCGACGCTGATAAGGAGTTGCGATTTCCGCGTTGGTCCCCGGTTTGACACTCG